TAGAATAATTGTGTATTCTAGGCAAAAACATGAACGGCGGTGCAGTTCATAAATTAATTAAAGAGAAGCTTAGTAAAAGCGGTTATTTATAGAAATTATTTGCCGATCCTCCATGTGCGAAGTTTCAAGCAATTGGCTGGATTATATTGTCAAGTACGTGATCCGTTCTTGTCAAGAAGAGAATTTGAATTAGTAGTACCGAGAGAGGAAAAATGTCTGACGTCCATGAGCTCATTTGAATTTGTTGCTATGGCAGCGCACTTTCTTATACGAGTTATCGTGATGTAAACGGCCGGAGGCACACTTTACTGATCTCAGTCTTTCTAGTAACATTTTGTATCTCTTTTTTTTCTTTACACTCATAGTTTCTACGCCGGCTCTTGTCGGTGTTTGTGCCGCTGTTTTCACAGTTCTAATCGCGCTGCTAGTGGGTATATATCGCTGCTTTTGTCGTCGTAAAGGAACCGTACCCTTCCCGTCTATCAGAACACCGCATGACCAAAGGTCGGGTCGGATAGCCATTGCTGTGGGCAGCGCCACGACTAGGTCACCCCTGGTTACGCCAACTAGCGACCGAGATGTTACCTTCCCGGTGGACAGGAAAGCCTTCTCATCGAAATCGTACAGCAGTACGGTGACGTCATCGATCGACCCACAGACCATCAACACACGGTGGTACATTGAAAATGAAGGTGAGAAAAAACAACGTCGCCAAGATGAGGACAGTGTCATTGCCATGTTGAAAGAGAAGGGAGAAAATGAAGATTTTACGCAACTGGGATGCCTCTTCTTTTCCGTTGAGTATGATTTTGACAAGAACGCTTTTATGGTTACAATCCATAACGCTACGGACCTACCCGTTAAAGACCCGACGACTAATAGCACCGACCCTTACGTGAAACTCTGTCTGCTCCCGGAGAAAAAACACAAGGTGAAGACCCGAGTATTACGGAAGACACAATCCCCGGTCTACGAGGAGACATTCACGTTCTACGGATTGCACTACAATCAGCTCCAAGGAATCACACTACATTTTGTCATTCTTAGCTTTGACCGATTTTCCCGCGATGACGTCATCGGTGAGATCGTGGTACCATTGGCTAATATCGATATGAGTGAGACGGCTGCGCACCTGTCACGAGAAATTAAAGCACGAAGTCCAAAAGTAAGTTTCAGAGTGAGAACAAAAACCCTTCGTGAACGCCAGTGTTTGCGACCTTTCACATATACCCACGTAACTCTTGTTATACTTTTTTGTCGGCAATTTGTTCAAGCAATGGAAAATGATGTCCATTTGGTTCAAAATTAATAAACATATTACAGAACGATAACAGAATCGTTCGAAATGTTACACAGACTGCTTGGCAGTAAAAACCAAGACGTGCGAATGGTTCAAATCAAATACAATGTATAAACAAAAGAAAATGAACGTGAATGTTATACCCCTTTTCTATTGTTTTCTTAAATCTCGAGTAATCATTTATAGCTTGTAGCGTGAGATGCGCTTTAGTACTAATGTGTGTTGTCGGTAAGAGTGTTGTGTTGGTGATTTATTGGGGATGTGGGGGTGGTGTATAAGTTTCACGCATGCGCAGTATCCAAGTTAATTTCGTTCTTTTTGTTGTTGAGACATGGAGGAGTCGGAAGTGAGTACAACCAGTGAGCGTGAAGGCATCTTCTACTTTGCCAGAATTCAGAATAACAAGGATTAACTCGTGTATGAACATGGCCCGGGGGTCACAATAATCCTATATATTTCAATACGTTAAAGAACACTCTATACAAACCGAACCGCATCATGGTGTAATTACTGGTAGCTCTGTCGTACTCAGCAGATGTCCGCATAACCTTAAGTGAATTCATTAACACATAGAAGTTCGATAATATATTACTCGTTACACATAATTAAATTATATTTGAGAATCCGACCGTCATCGACCACCTGCTTTACGTACTACTATGAAACATGCTTGTCTTGAACATTCTGTAAATTTAATTTCCTCTCCATGAGCTCGACGATTGTTCGTCCGTATCCAATCGTATTATGTATTTTGCGAATATTTGATATGCGTAGCGACTTAAAGTTTTGTGTGTGTGTTGGTTTATGGTGATTCCCTATAATACCCATCATCGTACTATACAGTATAATCTTCCCGATAATACTCCATTTTCAAGTTATCTTTCCCACCCACCAGTTCTAAGCCCCACAAATAATAATTTTGTAGTTTCCTATAAGAACAATATATGTAATACATGTATAAAATCGTATGCGCGGCATGTGCTTGTCAGTGAGTAAACCTCCGAAGGCCCGGCGCGTCTTAAAGCGCCACGGTCGCCCGCGTCGTGTTTTATTATAGGCTCTACGTAACAGATACGTCACGTATCAAATGCGGCGCTCTGCGACAGAGAATCTTTAAATTCAGTACAATGAGTCAAATAAAAAGAGACACTCGGTGCGCTACCCCACTAAAACTCTCGTCATGGGCTTGTATCCCACCTTGTAGTGAGAAACCCACGTCATTGTTAAGGTGAGCCCCTCACACAATAAATCCGACTTGACGTGAAGTTGGCATACGACTCAAATGAACTGATGCATCTCCCTTACACTCGGCAAATGTTGAACGAAAGGAAAAGTCGATTAATTTCTGTAATGAACACGCGTGTGTCAATACCTTTGCCAACGCGATTCAGTATTGTGATCACTGACAATTACGCAATAACGTCCTGGTAATAGTATACATATGTGCACACTAATTCGATTGTCCCTGTTTTAATGTATGACATTAATAAACTAGAAACATGTTGGATAACGTAATTGTACACAATTTTAGAAGACACGATACTAATCTTATACAGTGTATAAAGCAAAAGGTCAATTTCATTTAATATTTACTGATACAGAAGTTCGGCTAACACTGACCCGTGTCGACGTCACTCGCAGTATTTACTTTAGATGTCGACGTTATAAAATTAAAAACACTGTAAACTGACGTATTTGTAGACAGCAATTTTCTAAGTTCGGTATCATTGAATACAGTGTCAGACATGTTGATAGCCGGGGCCTCTTTTATCGCCTGACATACGTTGCCTTTTCCGTTTGAACGAATCGTGCAGTCCAAGAAAATACCGTTTGAACGTAAATCACAATAAAGCACGAATTGAAATGTATATATTGATCGTATCTAAATATATCTAATCCTCGCAGAGTTACATGATTAAATGTCAAATAAAGGCTCGATGATATTTCTGTCCTGGCTAATTATTACTAACTAGTCACCGTGTATGACGTGATCACCACTTCCTTAGTGCCATGTTGTACGCGTATGTTGTCGTATTTCAAATGTGAATTTGCAGTGAAAAGAAATTGAAACACTGACGTGCAAAATACGAGGTCTTGTATTTGATAACACGCTGCCAAGCCTATACGGCTGCTGTAACTGTTCAAAACTTATTGTCATTTGATTTATTAGATTGTACTCCACAGACTATACGGTTGTTGTCGCAATTGGCCTACTCATAATTTTTGAGAAAGTTGGTCATAAATCGCATGACAATGTTCATTGGTTTATTATGTAAAATCATGGAGCTATTGTCCAATGGCACCATAAAATAGCAATATTTTGCATTTTTCGACACTTTTTAAAACCTCGATATTTTAAAAAATTCAGGAAAGCAAAAGGTACCTCATCATTAACAATATGTTATTTTTTCAGCCTTCGGCACCAGCTTACAATTTGAGATATGGCATAATATCTCTGCGATTGAACCTATGGTAAAAGCACTATAATACTCGAATTTTCTCGAAAATTAACCTGGTGACCCCCAACTTGTTTTAAGTAAATATTCTTATATTGTCCGGAAGTACAATTTATTGAAAAATTCTGGGTATTTGGAATCACGAGTAGGCTTCTACCTTGAAAGGGAGTTTATAAGTTTATTTATTAACACATAACACCCGGCCCCCAGGGGTTACAAATCAGATATTAGTAAAAGAAAAATAACTTGGCTGGATGCAACAATTTGTTGTGTGTGTGTGTGTTTATTTTGTTATCTGCTAGCTGATTGAGATCACAGATAGGAAACGGAATTATAATCATGATGGCCGACCTTTCATGCAACGATTCTATTCAAACATAACCCGCCATGTGATGATTAAATATTGCTAGTGCGTCACTTCACCAACAGAAGTCATTAAATATAAATTATAACACGTCATTTATCATGAGTTTGGCAGAGTTCATTGTTTACTTCGAGGTATATTGAATTTCTATATATATAATTAATATAATTATGCATCATAACTATATTAATTAATTGGTTTTTCTATTTCAATGTACGTGTGTAAATTTCAGGAATACAATACGCCTAACGTTTTGTTTTGTTTGTTGTTGTGTATTTGTTTGATTTCACCATTGAAATTGTATCGTAGAAAATGAACAAAAATTACCCTAACAATTTAAAAAACTATTTGTATTTTCTCGATTCAATTATTTGCAACTGAGTCAACAATTCGATTTTTGTTTTTAATAAACCGACGAAGTGTATTTGTTTCAAAAGAAAATTCCATTTTAGAGGTGGCATGTCTACGGCTGCACGCCACTCCCTGGATCAATTGTGTTACATGAGTGGGCGATATTTATACTCGGTTATCAGCTGCCCACTCATGTGTAAGGAGACATGGGCGGAAACTCAAAAAATTGAGGTATACGCTCTAGCCGACAATATCACCCAAACTCTGGGCGGGTAATCAAATAAAGATTCAAATTTGCTCAAGTTTTATCTTGTGGTTTTTTAAGTCAACTGATTTATTGAGAGCTTGCAATTTTATTTTTTACGAGACCAAGGTTACATGTTGCAGAACTAATTTAGAGTCTTAGTCGGCCCTGTGCTGAAAATAAAAATACCAATTTAAAGCGGCAGGGTCGTCACCTGCGCACGCGCGGGAATTGAGTCCCAAGCGACGATAACAACACACGCTAAAAACGCAAAGGTTCATGGGTAGACGCCTGTTTGTAAACAACGACACGCTATGGCCGTCTGACGCATGCGCAGGTGACGATTCCCCCCGATTTATTAAAGCGCCATGGCGTCGTGATCGATAAGGGTCCCATCCACACTGTACATTGTACACGCCGCTACGGCGCAGTATTCGAATTCAAACGCACACGTGCATCATTATAAATAGTGCTTGCGGGAATGAAGCAGACTGTACTCGCATGAGTACCATATGTACCATAATTACTCATTTTTAGATTTACTCGCCCAACGCCATCACTGTGTATCCTTCAAGCTGTTTTTTTTTTTTTTTTGTATAAATTATTATATTCAAATATTATTTGTAGCTGCAAGAAGATTATTGTCGAATATATATTTCGACATTAACTATATGCCTTTATTAGTTTCTGCAAGTAAGATGAGTCTGTATATATGTAAATGCCGCGAACAGTGTGCTATATGACCACTGAAGCGTGCCATGAAGTGAGAATAGCCCCGTTTTATAAGTAGAATTATTTTAAGTAAATTATATTATGTTAATAAATTATCTTGGTTCAGTTATAATGGATAGTTTCCATGCTTCATGTGTTTCTTAATTTATTTCATTAAGCGTTAAATGAAAATAACTCTAACATGTGCAATATTAAAACACTACGTGACATGTTGAGCAGTAAACAGTGTATTGTATACGCGTTGCTAGTATACGTATCACGGTGCCCATATCGTCGCGGAACGACGACTGCGGCGCTGTAATTAAGACGCATCGTACAAGGGCCAAGGCAGGAATAATTGCCAAGAGTTACATCCAAGTTGTGATATATATAGCGTTTGCAAATTCGGTTATAACGCGTAGAAAATGGCATACATTCAACGTGTGTAAAATGCAAGTTGATTTGAAAGCGCGCTGAACGATGGTTGTACATGGTAATTAAATTCACTCACTGTGACTGCATGCAATATGTATAAGTCAACTGGCTAGTTTACATTTGCATGCTTCCTGGCCTGTGTTGTCAGATCGGACATAACATCAAACCTTACTGTTATCCGGTTTACCTAAACGTTCTCCTAAGGTGTTGATAGGTAGATCTTCTGGGGGTGCACAGGTCAAGTCAAAGGACTTTTTTCATAAAACCACAGGGTTGATAACATTCGAGGAACACAATACAAATG